TGTGTTATTAAATCAGTTGAATGTTATTAATGTCATGGTCTTATATATTTGGGGAAATAACTAGGCTTCTGCAGTTTGCAACCACTCTTGACAGCTATTATGAACATAACTGAAATATTTCAGTTTCCCAGTATTTGACTTCCATGCAATTTGTGTTCAGACATCACTGTCCAGTTGTAAGTACGGCTCTCTCGGACACAAAAGCAGAGGCATCCCTTTAAGGCAGTGACATGGAAACGTACGCAGAGGGAACAGGATCACATGGAAAAAAAGCTGCTGAGGGAATACCTGGGCTATACAGATAAGTTCGGTGAACAAATCAGCCTGTTAGAGCTAGCCACTGCACAGACTAGACCCACTTTTTCTATCATTGAAATAGCTTTTCTACCATCGTAAATGTTAAAGGCATATGCTGCCAGAAATGAGGGTTTAGCATTGCCTGCTAGCCAGAAGCCAGCACTGCTCCACGCTGAATGTGTTTTAATTCACATCCCTATGGGTCCTCACTTGAAGGCACTATCCACTTCAAAAAGGAGAAGCCATGATCTGTCCTTTGCTAACTGTTCAGAGCTGAGATCGGTTCCAGTCCCTAAAGTGCAGCCAGCTGTCTTCCTCCCGAGTTTACTAGTTTGGAAAGCAAAAAGCAATGCCAACCCCTATGGAACACGAGGGCCTCCAAGCCCTGCACCTGTGAGTCATCGTCAGCCGTGAAAGCAATGCCTCTCACACACCTAGAACAACGTGCAAAGCACATAATGAAAGATACCACACAAAAAAAAATCATATCACGCCAGGGAATGGACTGCCTGGGGAGAGTTTACACCTTGTTAGTGTCCAGCAGAGTTATTACAATGAATGTCAAGGAAATCATGATTGTGCTGAGGTTCTCTCTATACAACACCCCAGGAAGATGTTCCTGCTCAATTACTCTTCTAAAAAGAGAGCTAACAAATGTGAGTGCTCCTGACTGAAAATCATCACTATTCCTTTCTCATAATTTCCCCCAGCTTTAACTGGAGTAAATTCAAGGAACAAGTCAGCATATTAGAAACAGCGGTAGCTCACACTAGATCCATGTTTTGTAGTATTTGGAAGTGTTTTTTAAGTTTGTAAAAGTTACAGCAATGGCTTGCCAGCAGTGATGGCTTGTCATGAGCTGAAAACTTCCATGCAAGGTTCTTGCTTTTGGTCAATTGACTTCATAACCTTGTAGTTCTACTTTTCATTTAGTAGCGAAAGTCATAGGAACCTTTCCAAGACTAGTGAAAAGCACATTCACCTATATTACAAAACTCCCGTAATTTGTTTTTGTGAAGGTCCAGCATCATCACACACTGTACCAGTAACATGGTGCAATCCTTTTGTAGGAATTTGTTCTTGTTTTCTTTTTGAAATCTGCCCTGTGATATCCCAGGTGTTTATTTATTACCATTGTGGTTTTAACAACTAAATCTATAATAATTCACCTTTGGAGAAGGGAATTTTTTTCTGCAATAAGGTGCCCAAACTATTCCCTCTGCTGTCAAGCAGGCAGAGGAAGTGCAGAGGCTGGCAGAGGCTGCCTGAGGAGACAGCAAACAAAGTCAGGACTTGCTGAGGACTGGAGATGGCTGCTTTCTCTGCCCTGGGTCCCAGTGCGCACTGGCTGAGGAAGCGGCATGATCAGAGCGAAAATGGAGGGAGGGGTGTGAAAAGGGCCCCAGGTGATGTTGGCACAGAACAGAAGAATCCGGTTCACCCTTTTTTCTTCCAAACCCTGAAGCAGAATCCAGGATTCTCACATCTAAAGCTCCATCTGTGACTTTGCAGCAAGTACCTGTGCAACATCTAGGTAGTGCTGCACCCTAGCCCCTAACGACAAAGAAATAGCTATGAGCGTTACCTCATGCAGAGAATATCTGTGTGGTACTGAGTCTACACATGCTCAATACCCCTTCAGTATGAGATGACAGTTTACCGTTTCCTGTTTTGCTCCATCTTTTTTTAAAAGGGAAAACATTCAAGAGAGGTTTTTTATAATAGAGATATGCAAAAAAATGAAGTTAACATTTCCCTGACAATCTTAGTCTTGGCCTTTTAAACAGACTTAGCAGTCTTCATTCCCTCCTTCAATCATTCTGTATTACACCCAACACGTGGCTCATGTTGGCCCCGTGGTCTGTGTGCTTTAAAGTGTTGCAAGACTGAACTCCCACTACCAAGCAGCTACCTTGACCTTTTGCAGCGAAAAGCTTTTGGCTTCTGCCTGGAAGGAATGGAAACCAGCCATGCAGAGAGCCCTGTGTGGCAGCCCTGGGATGGTTCATTTCAAAAAAATTAGCATAAGTAATGGCAAGCACAGTTTTAAGCAAGCTGCAGCGATCCATACTATACAGGTTAGTACAGCTTTGGGAGCAATTCAGACAGCTAGCAAACCATGGCGCTGAGCAGTTCACAGATAAGATATGTGAACACTTAACCTTGTTCAGCTCATCACTGTGTGTTTGCATCGAAAGATAGCTGTTCAATAACTGCAGGCTTTCCAAGCAGTCCCTTGAGCCTGTCAGCAAGTTGTGAGAGCTGCTCTGATTGTCACCAGGGAAACTACGGACCCGTTCTGCATGTGGTCAGCCTTCCAGAGATGAGGCTGTTACCAGGCGCTATCATAGGAAAAGGCATCTCAAGACTAATTTCCCTAGCTAGAAATTGCATTACTGGTGCATACAAAAGGATAAGTTCCTAAGTCTGTAGAGGCTTCTGATGCTACGGTTGGTTCAGCTGGCAAAACTACTGTCAAGTTTTCTAAAGCTTTGAGTTCAAACACATGTTTTTATTTGATCTCTGTTATATGATTTAAACTTGATTAAATCTAGTACCTGAGGGAAAAGGCTAAAAATAGATGAGATGATGTTTTTCTCTCCTTTGGTAGATACCTGGAGAAAGTAGTAAAATGTAATAAATTGGAACCAGTTTAAATATTAGTTCAGAAATGTCATCAATTGTGAGATTTTTTTTGAAACTCAGTCACTTTTGAGTTTAATCAAAATGGTTTTGAAAATGGTAACAATAATGTTAACATTCCCCTTGGTAGAATGGCAAATTAATTTTTAATTAAATGATAAGTAATCAACATTGCTGTTAAAAGAGAAGAAACGTGCTAGTTTTGAAGTCAGTAGGAAATAGTTCCGTGATAACAGAAGATCAAAGATGGCATTGTCTAATTAAAATATAAAATGTTGCATGAATATCAAAGGGATACCTACAGCTCCCACAGACATTGTCAGGTATTAAATAGCTCAGGCACCTGAATTCTTCTAGAATCATCTTTGCCTCCACTTGTTCCAAACTTTGCATTTTGTCACAGCCGGTATAGGAAATCAAATGCAAAGCTGGGAACTGAACCTGGTTTTACTGTCAGAGCTCCTTCTAGAGAGTTTAAAAGTTTCACTGACGTTATATCAGTCTGTTGGTAAACTGAGAAACTCAAACCTGAACAAAAAGTGGTAGTATTAGAGCTAGCTAGAAATTGATCTTTAATTCTGTCCTTGTTTTCTGTCTTCTCCCTTTCCACACCTAGAAGCTTCCCCTGGCTACAGAGGAGGCTACGTTGCTCCCATATACAGAAAATGTCACGCAACAGAAGGCTGAATTCCTGATTAATGGCAGCTCCTTCCACTTTAACTGCAACTATTTAAGGCAAGTAATAAACTAAAAAGAAAAACCAATAGTCAAATTGTGCCTCTGTTTCAGATGGATACACTACTGATGATATTGAATTTTACTGGCATGGAGGAGAGTCGGCAGTAACGGGAGTTAATAACATCGAGCTCCCACAATTTTCTATCGTTGATTACAAGATGGTATCAAAGAGAGTGGAATTTACAACAGGTGAGCACTGGCTATTGTAAAAAGCTCCCCCCTCTTCCCCAACCCAGAAATATCAGTATCTACCTTTTGTCAGGCATTAGTCATTATATGACTTCTTTCTTTCAGGAGCATATCCTCGATTATCACTTAGCTTCCGGCTTAAAAGAAATATTGGATACTTCATTTTGCAAACCTATATGCCTTCCACGCTGATCACAATTCTGTCGTGGGTATCTTTTTGGATCAATTACGATGCCTCTGCAGCCAGAGTTGCGCTAGGTAACTTCTTTTCAAAATCACTGATCTGCATAGATACTTGTTGCCTTTGAATACAGCAGCACCAAATCCACACAGCTGATTGCAGCAGCATTAATTGTGAAATTACACTTGCAGCTCTGCAGTTAGGTTGGGATCCTGACTGACTTCCACTTGCCATAATGGTCTTTGGATCAGGCCAAAAGTATCTTGCTTCCAAACTGAAGCATTAAGGTCTAATTCAGGTATCTAAGGGTATCTACACTGTGCTGCATCAACATTTCATTGATGTTTAAAAGCATCCTCTCAGGCCAGATGTGTGGCTGGAATGAATACACAAGATCGTGCTGACATCAGTGGAGGTATCCCAGCTGACACAAAATAAACCTGTTTTACCTACATAGTTGGTTATTGACCATACCATGTTCCTTACTACAGCTTTCCATAAGAACCAAGATCTTCTGCCACCATCTGTGCTTTAAGGCAGATATGCTTTTCAAATGCTAATGACAGAAAGCCATTTTGTCCCACCTCTTTTTTATCCCATCCCACCTATCTGTAAGTTCAGCTGATTACACCTGTGTCTAGAGTTATTATCTAGATGCATTAATGACCTGTGATTAAAGCAGACTGAAAAAACCACACCAAAAAAAAAAAAAAAAAAAAAGAAAGAAAGGATCATGCAGTGATGGATAACACAATGAGATGAGAATGCTTTACTTGCGGGCACCCCTTTAACAGGAAAAGCTGTTTTGGTACGAGTTTATATATCACTTTACATCAAAGACCATCACTTTATCATAAAGCTTCTCTTTCTCCTTCCAATCCTCTGTTTTCAGTCAAAAACTGTTATTCCAGTTCCCCAGAGTGATGCAAGTCACCCTATAGTGTCAAGCAGGGCTGCTGCAGTAAGTAAAGTGAGAAGCATTTCCTCATAGAAAGAACAGTGATCAACTCTTTGCTATCCAGGTCAGCCAACACCATGCTCCCTAGCAGAGTTATTGTAAAAATTAAGGCAAGATGTATCAAGATAGGCTGGGCTTTCAAAAGCTATTTTGTTCACACTCCGTTGCATGGAAAGCCAAGGAAGGTGCCATCAGCAGGCCTGCAAGGATATCTTCCTTTCCAGCCCTGCAAAATGCATTCCCTTGGCTGTTAAGAATCTGATCGCATAGTTAAGCCAACTGCATGAGAAATGCATGGTAGCTGGGCAATGCTGTCATTACGCCTTTTACGCTCGAATCTCCTTCCCCATCTTAGTCAATGTCTTTTTCTTCCTTTCGCAGGAATCACAACTGTGCTGACCATGACCACCATCAGCACCCACCTCAGGGAGACCTTGCCAAAGATTCCCTACGTCAAGGCAATAGATATTTACCTGATGGGATGCTTTGTGTTTGTGTTCCTGGCCTTGCTGGAATATGCCTTTGTAAACTACATATTCTTTGGGAAAGGACCCCAACGTCAAAAAAAGGCAGCAGGCAGGGCAGGACGTGCTACAGGCGAGAAGAGCAGATTGGAAACAAATCGAGTCCAGGTAAAATGTTTAAGCTAACTTTTCAAACATTATTTCTGCTGTGACAGTGATGATGTATATGATGATAGAGACAAATGCCATTTGAACACATATGCAAAAGCATTTAAGATTGTCTAGAGAAAAATCATATTTTAAGGAGATTACAGCAACATATGGTTTGTTCCATCTTCAACTGAAAACAGAATAAGAAACGACAGAAAATGCAAATCAATATTCAGAACAAGCATGTCTTTGCAGCTCAGAAGAAATACAAGGAGCACAAGGAAGTTAAATATTTACCATTTCAACTGTATATTTCTTTGCTATAGAAGAAATGTTTATTATATAGTTCCTCTTTACACACAGAAACTTCACCAAATATAGAAAGCAAAGACAGATACTGTTGCTTCAGTGAGTCTTGAATGAAGCCCACACCACTGAGCTTCCAGGAACACACGGAGGATGCAGCTAGGTTATAACAGCTTTCAGATGTCAGGATTTTTCCCTCAGGCTAAATTCAAGCAGACCACCACTACCCACTCTTTAAAAACAAGCCAGACAAACTCCAGAAAGTAATATTACAGACATTTTTTTAACAGGGAAAAGTTTAATTTAGCTTCTATAAACCCACTCTATTTTTTCCAATTTTTCAGAAATAAACACTTCCCTCAGGTGCATTTGGCCTAGTCTGACTCAGAGAAAAAATACATATCCTAATGGGCCAATAATTTTCTTCTGTTCTCTGCTTTTCTTACAATGTATTACATTCAAGTATTAATGAGATCTTACCCAGGCTGTCCTATAAATTTCTCTACTGTTGTGGCCTGAGGTGATAACATTTGGACAAAACTGTATTTGAGCCCTCTGTTCAGCTTGAAGAACGAGACCGACTCATGAAACTCTAACAGGTAAGACTAGCTTGATGGGTGGTTGCAATTTCACATACATGTCAGGAAGAGTGTTTCAGAGACTCTGTGATATTTTACTAGTTCTAGAGTTGTATGTCTTGTGTCCCAGCAGCTACGCCACTGCAGCTAAGCATCATTAACGGAGTCGTCATGTCCTCAGTCTCAGTGAACTCGTGAGCACATTAAAAGTCCTTACCCGCATTCACCTCCTGTCCCAACGTGTAGGAGATGCTTTATTACAGTGGGTGCACAAATTCAGCTCAGGCTTGCAGCAGTCTCCAAGGTCCCACAAAGTATTGTCCTCCAAGAGCAGAGGAGATAAGCCACCCCATTACGGATGGTTGTGAGCAGACACTGTCTGTCCATTCCTTTGGAAGATAAGGAAGGGAAAAAACCCAACAAAACCCACAAACTTTGACCAGTCACTTCAACAGCTCCTGAGATAATCCAGCCTAGGTGAGAAGAAGCACAGCAAGGGTTCATGATGAAGAGGGAAGCAACATGTCTTCAGAAGCCAGCCTTGGCTACATGGGCCCCAGCGCACTGAACTGAGTAAAGGATGAGAAAGTGTAAAGGATAAGAGTGCAGGTAAGTTCTTTTTTCTACATATTTGGAGAATTTGTTTAACTAACAAAAAGGCCTAGCTCATGACTAAAAGCTTTTGTCTAAATGTTACACTAGCAAAGATTATGCTGAGACCAGTACTCAGAATGGGATGGAAAGTATTTACAACCACACTTGAACTTTTCAGACCACCACACGCATCCACCAGCATTTTTTCTGACAGAAAACGGAAGGCACACATGTATACATGCTTTGTACCAGGATTTGTAGGTGTTCAGACCTTAGACTGCAATTCCTTTCTGAGATTGAGAATGCTTTAAGTGAAGAGACTGCTTTCTGCCTGTACAGTGCAGGTTTGTGATTTTAGATACACACATATATATATTTTTATTTATATATACATGCCCACAGACACACACATGTGAATGGATATCAATGGATTTTGTTATCCCACTGGAGATACATTGATGTGGGACCTTGTGAGCATTCATTTTTCTCAGCATGCAAATGCTGGTATCCAACAGCCGTATTTCTGTCTTCGACAGGAAGACTGCACATGACCGGAGCAGTGGGACACAGTAAGGTTACGTGATCTCTAGTGAAGACAGCTCCCAGCCCCTCTCCATCATGTTTTGAGATTTTCACTGGAATTATGATGTCTGTACCAGAGCAGGGGAAAGGTTTTTTGGACCACAAAAGAAGTAAAACTGTAAGTATATACAGCTATAGGATATTTTTTTCCCCTTTTACTCTTGACCCGTAACACTTTTACAGGGACCTATAACCAATAGAAAATATGTAACAGTGCTTCCTCTCTTTGTGCCAGGTGAAGATACTGGTCATTCCCATCTGACATACAACTCCCGTGACTAAAAGAGTTCAAATTCCTTCACCAGATAACAAAAGTGTTAGACAACACTCGGCAACACTGACTGCGACATTAACACAGTATAGAGAAGACCAGGTGGAAAATGAAACCATACTGCTGTTTCATATGTGGCTGTTCCTTGCTCTACAGACTGAAGAAGGTGGAAATAAAGCCTCTCCACTTTCACAATTTATGCCATTTTAATTTTTAATATGCAAAAAAATATTAATCTGTAGCAAACAAGCTTTCTGTTTCTCTGAATAAAGCATAAAGACTGTTTATATCTCCTTGTCCATTTGTCAAAGCTAGATGTCACTGAGGAAACCACTATCATTATGGATAAATAGGACAAACCACCCAGCAAGAAAATATTTAGTCTATGCATGCAACTGCTTCTGTTTCCCCAATTATAATGTGAATAATCATTACACAGAAGACATCTCTTGACCATGAGAAAGAGATAGGATGCAATCATAATACGAGTGGGAAAGGGGCTGAGCCATCAAGGGGTTCATAAATGGCAACACAAGGCAGGTGGTAGATGGTCTCTTGCTCCCCAGTTCTGCACAGCATCACTCCTTCCTTTCAAACCTTATGTGAACTTCAAAACACCTGGGGTGAAAGGCCAGAGACCAGCTATAGGCTCCAAGGAAAACATACGGTTTTCCAGTACAGCAGCTACTGGAAGAAGAAAAAGGAGGGAGCACATAACCACCCAGCTAGCTCAACCTTCAAGTCAATCCACACCTGAATAAGTATATCCCTGCCGAGTATAACCTGTTTCTTTGCAGATCAGATTGTGATAACACTACTGCAGTTGTTCCAACAAGACAGCTTATATGAGTAACACGGCCCTGAATCTTTCATCTTAAGAGGAAGAAAAGATGTTTTTGTATTGAGACAAACAAAAGTTCTTACCTTTTATCTCCCAACAGTTAACATAAAAAAGTAGGCAGGTAAAAACCCATTCCAGACAGCACTAAGCATTTAAGACCCATCCTCTGTCAAGGAATGCCAGCATGCTCTTCCCCTAGAGGTGACTGACTACTTTTTATGTGGTCAACACAGGACTGTTGTTTTGGGGTTTTTTTATTACTTTAACTATTCTATACTTACAATATCATTTGATGATCCTAAGCAGGAAACTCATTTTCTAAGTAAACATACAAACCAGATTATTATTTCTTTTTATGATGTTTCCTGAGCACACATCAAGGCTTTTCCATCACTGATGAAGATTCACGTATATATACATATATATGTATGTATGTATATACCTGAGCTGATTTAGGCTTTAGTTGGTTCCAGTGCAAAGGAAGAATTGAAAATCTATAAACTCAATATAGATACACACTCAGTATAGATACAAATGTCATTACAAGAAGCGTCACTGTATACATGCATCTGAAGAGAATTCAAACTTTGATAATTATACCAGATGACTAACATAACGTCAGCTCTAGATGCTTTGACATCCTCCTCACATATTCTTCATGATATGTTCAAAACACAAAAAAACCCTAAACAATTCTTCAGCTTTCTACAACTTTAGGCAAAATTTATGCATTGTACTAACAAGGCAAAGTGTATGTTCATGCAAACACACATTTAGGCTCAGAATATCTGTTAGGCAAGAAATCCTGTTTTCATCTGAGCAATGGTCAGTTTATGTAATAAAATTTAGGGCATTCCAGTTAAAGAACAACAAGGTGGTGTTTGAAAGAATAAATGCGTTGTATCCGAGCAAGGAAGAACTACTCTGGGCTTGATATGGCTCATCTTTCCTACCTAAGGATGGGACTGAGATACTCTATTTGTAAGCAGGCAGCCAGCTAGTGGGCCAGAAAACTGAGTAGACAGAGCCTTGTCTCTTCCATCCCCCTTTTTTTGTCATGCCATCCTGCGCAAATGTGTCAAAGACTGTGTACAACTGCAGTACATACCTGATGTGGGGAAAGAGCCTCGTCACTCAGACATGGGGTGGAATGAGTTTAAAGCCTGCTGGCTGTTTCTGATGCACAGGCTTCCTCCAGCACAGGACCAACAGCAAGCCCCAGGGTACCTCGTGTTAAGTAAGGGAGAAAAGATTTTAAGACAGAAAATTGACAGCTTTTACTGTGCACATATTGGCTGTTAATTCATTCTAACATTAACATAAATGACACTAATAACAAGTCTCTTTGGGGGATCCCTTAACAATTTGTACATTTTCCAGATTCCTATGGGAATTTGTAGAAGTCCTATGCTTCAGAAACAAAACCTCAGCTGCACAAGTTTTAAGAATATTTTGGAGTGAACTTCAATAAATTCTGAAAGGGTTTTTAATGATGTGGGAAATTAACTATTAGTCCAGATTCACGTCGCACAAGCGGAGAGTTTGACCCAGGTACATAAGAAGAGGTTTTATACTTCTCTGAGCTAATTTATTCAAGATCAGCGTAAGGCCCTTTGCTCTGAATTGCAAAGACTGCAATTCAAAGACTGAATTGCTTCATGATGTATACAAATCATCCCACCTAAAATGATTTAAATAAAAATAATTTTAAAATATAGCAGGTTCATTCTTAACAATTAAAGCAGGAATTCATACGCTGCTTGGCTTATAATAAACTGTCAGGGTGTATTAGTTTATGAAACATCCCTATGAATTACTTTAGCTCGTAGGCAGTTATGAGTTGTCT